TTATTATTAGGTATTATGAGGTATTTTCACTGTGTGTACTTGTCTTAATGATGCCCATCATTTAACACTGAAAGTTCTGAAATTCTGTGAATAATAAACCTGAAATAAAACATTTCACTAAAATAAAACAAAAACTAAAAAATTCTATAAAAAATATTTATGATATCAATACCCCCATCTGGATATTTGACATCTACATTATAAGTGGTGCTGTATTGAAATCTAAAATAAACTGTGGATGTAATGAGCCACCTTAATACTTTTTCTAACATCGAAATATGATGCTTGAATGAATTTCGATCTTTTTGCAAATTATACATTTGATTTGTTACAAAATTACTCATTTCCTTACACTGTTGATTATTGGGACTGGACATAATGAATCTGAACAGTTGTGTAGACTGTAGACACATTGATCACTGCACCATTTACAATTCATTGCAGGATTACTGAGCGCCAGATTCTTACAGAAGGTACAGTCTGCTAGTGCTTGGTCAGGACAGCTGTACAAAGTCACTGAAATAGGAATTAAAACATTTCTAAAAAACGATTTAAAACGGAAAACAATGGTAGAGCAATGGAAGTTTGAATTCCTGAAATCTATAAACAGTCAAATATTTAACTTTTGAGATTACATCATGCATAAGATTCACATTCTTTAATTCAAGTAGTTAAGTTTTATTTTGTCAGGAAAATAATCTCATGACGAATCATGATAAGTTATCACTTTAAATTTCGCAATGAAACGAGAAAAAAAATATTGCTTTAAAAAATCAATTCAAATTAAGTTACATTTGGTTATGAGTCCGGATCGATAGATTGGGTTGCCCATAGTTTGTGTCCTGTTTGTTTGTCTGTCTGCTGTCAACTTTAATCTCCGCCATAATTTTAGAACGAACCATGAGAGATAGAAACTTCATATTTTGTATGAATATTCCACTAATTAAATTCTAACAACCGACACAACGTTCTTGGCCTTGTCACCTTGACTGTGACATATATATGCTGAACATAGCTTTCTCAAACTTTTTGCTACCGGATGCATAATGTTTAACAAATAAATCTGGTTTCATTTTATTTCATTTTAATTCAAGCTACGTAACATTTAAGGTTTGATTTAATTTAACCATATAACATTTAAATTAATTTTCGGTTAAAAAGATGGAAAACTCATTGTTTGTTTCATTAATAGATCATATTTCTAAATCCTTTGAACGTACATGTTAAATGGTTTGCTTCAATGTTAAATTCATGTTCTGTCCACAGTACTTTCATGCTTGCTTCATATATACCAAAGGGTAAGGCGTCTTCAATCTGAAATGTCAACGTGAGAATGACGAAAAATTGCCTACATACGTATTAATTATGTAATTAAATGGTATTTTTTTTCAATATCGCCAAGGGCAACACTTTCACCTTCAGGTCCAACAAATCATATGTTGCCCGAATCCCAGTCTATAACTGTTTTGTTATACCCTTCACTGCTCACTTAAGATTGATCAATTTAATCAATACACGCTATATTATCAATTATTTTATATGGAAAATTATCGCTTCTTCAGTAAATATAAAACATCAAACTGAGAAAGAAAAAAATCAATTATACATCGTATCACAAAAATTATTTATCACAAAATATACTCTTCCCTTTCTGTTAACAACAACTCTTGTGGCTCTTAACTTCGGCTATTTTCGCGTCGCCGATATTGAACGATGATTAATTACTTGTGACGTGACAGACGAGTGACGTTGCGGTCTAACAATTCTAATGTAAGACCGGTCAATAGTGAAATTGTTAGACCGATGTAATAAACAGTTCTTTTGTTGGGCTTTTTATAAGTAATAAATATATAGAATGATATTTATAAGGGTATAACAAAAGTTATTGAGACTGAATGTCTTCTCCTCCAAGGCACCACATCTTACCTCTGGATTTTTTCTAGGTCTATGTTTAATTTACTTTTTTTACAATTGTTTTGTCTAAAGATTATTTAAAAAATATATCATTGTTCGTGACATGTACCATCACCTTTCCTGAAATCTCAAACAAAAATATTGTAGTTAACTAAAGTTTACTTTAATTAACTATAGTGATGACTTTGACACTTTGACAACTTTGTTTAATTAAAGTGATCACTTTGACACTTTGATTTACTATATGTTTAGTGATACCTTTGTCACTTTGATCTACCATAGTGATCAAATTGAAAACTTTGGTTAACTATAGTTTAAAATTGCATTTACTATAACTAAATTTTAATTTACCACAGTGAACACAATGAAAACTTTGATTTACTCTGGTAAAAAAATTGATTTATTATAGAAATAGATTTTAAAACTTTTATTTACTATCAAAAGTGAAAAGTATGACACTAAACTTATCACTTTGAAAACATTGATTTACTATAGTGATCACTTTGACATACAGTGAACACTTTAAAAACAATAATTTATTATTGTGATCCATTACAATTTGATTTACTATTGGTTACTAATGTTTACTATAGTAAACAATTGTTCACTATAGTGTTTTTGTAAGGGATAGCTAAAATATGTACCGAACTAAGAAGTTACGTGCATTGTACAATATATATCTCCATTTGTTTCATCCGCGCTCTTTATTTGCACTTTTTACGTCATACTTACCTTGCCGATAATGAAATTTAATTGAGTACTTGAAATTCTTCTACCATTTACATATAGTATCCTTGATGGTAACTGTATTTGTCCTCTATATTTGTCCTGCAAAAATACATATGTACAATGTATCTATAAAGGTTGACAAGTACAGGATTGTATTACAAATAGAGTAATTATTTAACACGTGTATGCGATTTAGTCATTTGGTGAAGTACCAAGGTTCCTACCTGCAATGTAATCTCAAAATGCTCAGGCAATAATGTCATTTATGAGATAATGACACTAAAAATAATGCTATTTGTAGTTATATTGTTTATTATCATTTACGCTTGGGAATAATCAAAGAAAACCGATAAGACTTTTAAGCTACATCAGAAATAAAATTTTATTCATTAACTTCTTTAAATTTTTATTCATTTACTTCTTTAAAATAATATCACTTTTGTTTTTAGATAAAACACAATTCATTAAATGTATTTGTGTACATTTTATGACTTTACATACTGGTTCTGGGAAATTCTTTCCTTGAATGACGATTGTTTTATTTTGATTCTGTACTACCAATAAGGGACCGGTCTGACTTGCGTCCACCATTGGACAAAAACTCTTCCCTTGTCTGCTTTCATTAGCCTTTTCGAATAAATGAGACATAGGCTTAACTCTGATTACATTCATCATATTGAATACATTCTAAGTGAAGTGCAAACAACAAGAGGGGAATATTTAAAAGACAGCTGTGAGACAAAGAAAAGAAACTGATAGTGTTAGTGCTGGAGACCATATATGTAATTCATAATTTAAAAAAGATAATTTGTTCCTTTTCTATCAAAGAGTCAAGTTTAAGTAAGGGTGGTGCATTAACAAATATTTAAAATGTTGACAACCTAATTCCGTTGATACGGCTAGAAGTATTGCTTAAGCTTTGAACAGAGGTCTTGGAAATGGATAAACAGTTCTTATAAAACTGTCTGTGACCGAATTTAACAGAAAAACAAGATGTTCGTTATTTTCATACCCTTCTTTGTGAAACACCGGCGGCAATAGAGTTCGAAAAAGCTATTTTTAGCATGTATGCCTCAGTCAAGGTCACGAGGTCATTAACCATCATGTCATTTGGAAGAGTTTAATTAGTGGAGTAAGTGTACTAAATATGAAGTCTTTTATCTTTCTTAGTTCAAAAGTTATGGCATAGGTTAATGTAGACAACAGACAGACAGGACAAAAATTATATGCGTCCCCGATATATCGATTCTATCGCAGTTCTATTTAAGGGGGCCGACTATAGCTTCCATTGCGCAATATTTCGCGCATCATAGTAGAATGAACCGTATTTACTGTTTTAATGCAACTTTTTTTGCTTAATTATTAAAATTAAACAAAATTAAGAAATTATAGATATAAAAATATAATTACAATTTGATATCATTGATTCTTAACCGATTTTGCAATTGATAGGTAGGTTGACGTCGTTGCAGTTTGTTGTTGACGTTATGATAATCTGTAGCTCTTAAAGAAAGGGGGTAATAAAATATTATTAAAGAAAAAGTAATAAACATACACTCTTGAAATTTAAAGCATAGAAATTTGAGAATATCTCCAATATTTTTATCATGTTTTCATGTGAATCCATTTTGTACGTCATATTTTGTAATACTCTATAAAAATAGTAAAATTTGCTAATTTTTTGCATTTTGAGATACCCCCTCTGGTAACAAGGCGGTAGAATTTTGTGCTTCTTACATATATTATATAACATAGTATTACTCATCAAATATTATAGTTTGAACAAAATGTCTATTATAGAATTTGTATAATTTGCTTGAAAGAGCTAAAAATTGAAATTTTCCTTTATAATCCTATAGTAAATGTACCTGTATTTTGAGACGGCCCCTAAAAATACGTGGACGGTAGATTTCCCCCAAATTTTTGCATGTACACTGAAGTTTATGTAAGTTATATATGATATAGAGATGACGAGTTTCGCTATTGTAGTTTTCACACAATGAAACTATAGTCGGCCCCCTTAATTTAGTGCTGTATTAAACAATGGGGGAGGGAGGGGGTACTTTTCGTTACTTCTTTGATGTGGATGTCTTGTAGAAAAGTATTGTTTACCCGTATATATGTCTATGCTGAGCACAGCAAATGTCATAGTAGGTTTTCTGGTCTTTCACAATTAAGTCTAGGCGGGCGATTCAAGCTAATATGTCACTACCTATAGCAAGTTTTTTCTTCTTTTTTAATGTAATATGTTTTATTTGTGTTAAAAATTACATAAAAGGATATATATATACATACTGACTGAAAAAAGAAACACAATTCTTGCCATTAACATTAAACTTTTAATAAATTCTGTGCCTTCTTGTTGGTGGGTGTCGTAAAAAATATATTCAAATTTAAGACATTGGAATAGTTTGATTTAAGACTGAGAGCAAAGTGTCAGGAAATACACCCTTTATTATATTATAACAATAATATTTTTACTCTTTAGCATAAAACTACATTCTACGTGCTTTTTGACAACCAACTTTCTCCCCAGAACACTGATCTATGTTGTACTGACACTTGTTTTCTGTGATACACCAGTCGCACCAGAAAATGTTGTCAACACATCTGGCACAACTGAAAGAAATACATTAGTATTAATGAACTACAAAGAGTTACTAAGTACAATATAAATTCGAGAAAAAAAAATATATCATAATAATATATCTTCGACCACCTTGTAAAACTACTGCAGTTGTAGAAAAGATAAGGTGATGAAACAATCACCTGGTCTGTCTCCACAGACAAAATACCCAAGCTTACGTTGATATATCCTACAGAAAAGATATCAGAAAAAATACATTCATTTCTCTTTAGCAAAGAACTTGAACAGAAAAAGGCCTGTGTAATTTCATGAGAAGGTAATTTGTAACTTTGTAAGTTGCATTCTTTCATAATAACGATGGTCGAATTAAATCTCGAATCTTTTAGACAATAAAAGATTTCAAACTTGCAAAATGAATGTGTTATGCCAAAAAGATCATTCTAACACAGACTCAACTTCTGAACGAGATTTGTCAACTGAAAGTTTGCCAATATCTATACTTGTGACTGCTCTAAATAACTCTGATCATTTTAATCAGTCGTGTTACATGAATCAACTTGTTTTAACACTTCTGTCCCATAAATGTCTTTAATGCACCTTTTTCATAGTCCAAATGATATATTGCTACTATTGATGAACGATATGGTTTAATATATATATATACATATATATATATATACTTTTAGTTTTATTATCTTACCCAGACTGCTGTTAAAGTTCACGCTAAGATTTTCAACATTAGGATTTCTACACTCAATACCAATACTCCACTGAACAGCTGGGGATAAAATCTGATCACCGGTAGGAAAGCTGAACACACAGGTGTAGGAGGTATTGTCATCTCGAGGCAGACCTTTGATAGTTAGATTCAACTAAAAAAAGTAAAAGAAAGCTTTATTTATAATACATGTAATAATAGCGAGAAGGGACGCTCGCGGAGAGAGCTCAGAAGACTAACGTGTAAGAACAGAGGAAATTCGGAATGAAATCTGTACATAGTAATACGTCAGGCAAATTTTTGTGTGAAACATTCATAGAATTCCTTTACTGCCCAATGTCCTTTGCGCGAATAAATAAATAATCACGTAAAGCATAAAAGGCTTTCATTTTGTAGACATCTTTAAAGAAAAAAAAACAAACTTGGCAATGTTTTTCGACCAAAATTGCACTAGGTCTATAGTTTCAACCAGACGTTCGGCTGTCTCTGTTAGCTCCGACGAGCTCCGTGACGTCGTGTGACGTCACAGCTAGTCGAGATGTCTCTTGCGGCTTGATGTTTGAAGTGGCTAATCAATTTTTCAAGTGTTTTTGATAATACAACTGCGCTCGCACCAACGATCACACCGTAAAACATATTAATCTTATAGAATAACTTTTCATTTTTCTGGTCTGATAAGAGTTGTTGCGTCTGTCATTACAGGTCATTTAATTATAAAAATAATGAGGACTCGGATGAAATACCTGAAATGTGTAATAGCTGATTGAAAAAATAAAATAAAATCCAGTTTATTAGATAAAGTGTTATGTGGACTCAATGAAACAAAATCAATAAAAAAAGAAACAATACATAATCAATACTGCTATACTTACCTTATTTCTACAGAAATGTTTTAAAAGGATAAATGTCAAATTAATGAATGCTGGAAATCGATACCGGGAAAAAATGGAATGAAGGACTAAAGGGCAATGGTTTGTTTGTTTGTTTGTTTTTGTATGTTTTGATGTCCCTCTTGAGAATTTTTTACTTATATATAGAGAACACAAAACACGCAACGAACGATCGTATTTCGAAGATATTAACCGTATTACTAGTCAATGAAAACCATCAATATATCACTCGCTTTATATCTTTATTTTGTAATGATTTCAAAAGCGGATCCAGCACCGGCGCTCTTGGCGTGCGCTCCTTCCATCATTTGATTTTTTTAAAATTTCGTTTGTATTACATGTATCTTAATCAACAGGAAAAACACCTTTAATTTGTTAGAATTCCTCAGTTTCCGGAAGTTTCGCCCCTGGATCTCAACCAGGGCTTTGTCCTTAACTTAATGGGGCTTTAATGCAGCCCCCAGACTTCCCATCTCCTACTGCGCCCCCGACCCTCTCCCAACGTTTTGAAATTCCTGGATCCACCGCTGAATAAATATTTACAGAGTTTAATTGCTAGTACATACTTTCTAGAGTTATCTATTTTTTTACTTCCTAGTTAGATATGAACGACCAATATCGGGTTATTATATTATATCGGGTTCCTTATATCGACAACCTATATGGGAACTTTCATCTATTGTTGAATCGTGCTCAGCTCTTGCAAAGCGTCGTATTGATAATTATTACAACCTATACGACATTATCGTAATAAACAAAGGTCGTCCTATAACATGGGCGGATCCAGCAATTTTTGAAAGTGGTTGGGGGCGGGGGGGGGGGGGGTTCCAGGTCGGTGTACCCAGCACTCATGCATAGAATCACACCACGGCCACTTCAAGTCCGTAGCTTCATTTATAAGAAAGAGGGCTTCTAAAAACAGTTGACAAGCAAAAAAAAAAAAATAATAAAACACACACAAACAAACAAACAAGCAAACAAAAACATAAAAAAAACTGTTCGGTACATCATTTTCAATCTTGATTTTGCGTATTTTGCCAACAACAAAAAATGTGGAGGAAGCTTCCAAATCAAAATATTATTTAAAACTGCAGCAAAATATTATCATCAGAAAAAGTGAGCTGCCGCCCTTCTGCATACCACGGGAACATTTTAAACGTTTCTCTTCATTGATTAAAAATATCTATGCATACAGTACCCGCATCGTTATTCTTTGCAGGATACACGCACGATACGATAGGATACACGCACGATACGATAGGATACAACCACGATAGGATAAACTCAAAACACGATAAACGCAAAACACTATACACGCAAAACACGATAGACCTGATAAACGATCTTCACGATAGATCAAACGCAAAACCTGATTGGATTGTTTCAAAATGCGGAACGTTTTCTGACAAGACGAAAAGATTATTTTGTTTAGTTACTAAAGCTTCAAATCTAAATTATAAAATACATTTAATTATTATAATAAAAAACTTGAGATCACTGTGGTAATTTTACAAAAGTTGTTTATTTATATAAAAAATTTTGTCAATGATTAAATGGATTATTATGAAATGGAGACTGTATTTTTTTTTTTAAATTTCTACTCAAGGGTGCATGTGAATTTACGATTATTTTGGTAAATGTCGAAATTCTCATCTGAACATTGAACTATGAATCGTTTAATTATGGATATTTTAACATACATGTAATTGTTGTACAAATATCCCTTACATAATTATGTGGCGTTTCTCACGGGTACTATTATAAATTTATGAAACTCTATAAATAGATTTAGTATTTATGAAAAAATATACATTTGTACCTAATAAATTTATCTACAAGTACTAAGTTATTTCACGAAAGAAATTTACGCAATAAATTAAATATTTGTTTTTAATGTCTAAAGCTTACAATCTTCGGTGTATCCAAAAATCGCAATTGAATATTAAAATCTGAGGAAAAAAATACATGTAGAAGACCGGCCGTTGGAAAGATTCTAAAGAAATTGGCTTTAACAAAATAAAAAAGTAACATGATAGATCTATCAACAACTATATAGTTTAAGAAAATTAAATTAATGATCAAGGACTTTTTTCTTTACAATACGAACACAAAAATTAA